GGCCCCTAGGCTGGCGTCTCCAACACCTGCACCAAGAAGATGTCCCCAACACGCTCCAAAAACTTCCTGGATTGCCTGTACACTGCTGTAGTGCCCTCCCAGCTATGTCAGAGTGATTAAAGTCTTCCATGAGAACTAGGGCCTGTGATCGGGAAACTTCTGCTAGCTGATTGAAGAAAGCCTCATCTACCATTTCCACCTGGTCTGGTGGTCTATAGCAGACCCCCATCACAAAATCACCCTTGTTACACTCCCCTCTGACCCTAACCCACTCAACAGGCCTATCTCCAGTTTCATCCTGGAGCTCTGAGCAATCATATGGTTCTTTTACATAAAGTGTAACTTCTCCTCCTCTTTTCCCCTGCCTGTCCTTCCTGAATAGTTTATACCCATCCATGACTGCACTCCAGTCATGCAAGCTCCCACCAAGTCCCTGTTATTCCAATCAGGTCTTAGTTCTGTGACTATGAAAGGACTTCTAGTTCTTCCTGCTCGTTTCCCAGGCTCCATGCATTTGTGTACAGGCACCTGACGTAACTAGTTGATTGCCCTGATTTTGCAGGAAGTATAAGAGTACCTCCCCTACTGCCCCCTCCCGCCTGCTCTTCCTCCCGGGCTCCTGCTTCCCCACTTACCTCACGGCTTTGGCCTCCATCCCGTTGAGCCTAGTTTAAAGACCTCCTCACTAGGCTAGTGAACCTGTCTGCAAAGATGCTCTTCCCTCTCTTCATTAGGTGGATCCTATCTCTTCCCAGCAATCCTCCTTGGAAGAACATCCCATGGCTGAAGAAGCCAAAGCCCTACTGGTGACAACACCTGCACAGCCAAGTGTTGATCTGCAGGATGCACCTGCCCGGGCTCCTTCCCTTGACCGGAAGGATCAACAAGAACACAACCTGAGCCCCAGACCCCCTCACCCTTTTACCCAGAACCCTACAGTCACTTTTCATCTGCTCAGGGTCTCACCTGGCAGTATCACTGGTGCCCACATAGATAAGCAGCATGGAGAAGGGGTCAGAGGGCCAGATGAGCCTCGGTAGCCCCTCCATGGCATCTCGGATCCGGGCAAGCAGCAGACCTCCCGAGACAACAGGTCAGGTCAGCAGATGGCTCCCTCCATCCCCTGCAAAAGGAAGTCTCCAAACACCACCACCCACTGCTTCTCCTTGGTGGTGGTCATCTCAGCCCTTCCACCGTGGTGAAGCCTGGCCTGTCTTCCTTCACCAGTGGAACGTGCTCCTCCCTCTCTGTTGCTAGGGCTGCACATCTCTCCTCCAGATGAACCACTGCAGGTAGAGGTAAAGATCTCTGCTTGCTGCCAGAAGTCACAAGTCTCCAGCTTCCACCTTCTTAGGTGTCCATGTGCTCACCCTTCTCTAGTACTGCCTCTGGCATTTCTTCCTCCACAGTCCCAGACGTCTCCTTCAGCATCAAATCAATGAACTACTCATGATGGAGGGTGCTTCAGAGCCTTGCCACCTCCTCCTGTAGCTCTCTTGCCTGTTCCCTGAGAGAGACCACCAGGAGGCACCACTCACACCACAGGCACCCCCCATCCTGGCCATCACTGGAAGGAACATTCACAAGCCGCAGTCCCCACGCCGCCAAACCTGGACCTGGGTAGAAGCATCTACGGTAAGTGGTCCTGCCTGGACAGAAACCTCACAGGTGCAAGCTCAGGCATTTGCACAGCTCAAGACAAATCATGTAGAAGAAACTCTTAACACTCTGGACAGCATTAGCTATTTCCTCTATTTCCAGCCAGAAGCTACACATGCTCTAAGCTGCTCTGCTTGTCCATCATTTCCATCTTTCTATCACCCCTAAAATTACATATGGTGCTGTAGTTGGCTTGGATATTAAGTGTCATGATTAAATGCCTTTCATAGTCCATAAGTACATTCAGCTATTATTTTTTAATACATGCACTCTTAACTAGGCAGCATGACAACATTTTGATCCTGTTTCCATTTAATATCAAACAAACAAAGAAATTTAAAAAATGCTAAGAATGTCTTGCATGGTGTAATGTGGTTTTTAAAAGCACAGTAATCAAGAGTAAAAGAGAATGAGTTAGGCCAGAAAGTGAAGGAAGATGTATGTGAAAGACAATGTGAATGGTTTTACCAATGCACCTGAATCACAAGCTACCTTGGGTTCCTATTCACCAGAAACAGCCATGGGTGGATCCAGGATGTTGCAGAGTGGGGTGCAGGAGAAGTGACCGGTATGGCTAGGGTCCTGTTCCCACCTTCCCCCCGACCTCTAGTGGGACAGGCACACCATGCCACAAGAACCCCTTTTAAAGTCCCCAAATCATGCAAGAATCCTCATATCCTCACTCTTGGCACTCCTTCCCCCTTCTGCTCCCCTCTATGCTCAGCATCCTGCATCCTTCCCTCCCCTTTGCTTCCTCCCCTACCTGCTTCTGCTACTGTCCCCAGCTGCCCCAGGAGTGCAGGGAGCTCCAGAGCTGCTTCTGCCCTGCTCTAGCTAGGCTGAGTAGGGAGCTGGACTCAGCTGGGGACAGCAGCAATGGGGGCAGGCAGGTTTCCTCCTACCTAAGCCTGTTGGGCGGAAATCAAGAAGGAAGAAGAACCCATCCACTGCTGCTGCTGTCCTAGGCTGAACCCAACACCTTGCACAGCCCAGTTGGAGTGCAGCAAGAGTAGCTGTGGAGGTCCTTCCAACCCACAGCAGCCAGAGACAACAGCAGTGATGCGCAGTGAGGCAGGGGCATGCCACTGAGTACGGAGGGGAAGGGAGGGGAGAATTCTTACCTGATCTGGGGACTAAGTCCCTGGGTGCTGCTCCCATGGTGTGGTCTGAAAGGGAGGTGCACCCACCTCTGGTAACAGCCCATCATTCAACTGTCTTAATAAGAAATGGGCCAACATTAACTACACAGTCACTTGTGGCCTAGAATTACCAATATTTTTTTGGCTATCTGACATCACACCTGGGCCACAATATTAACTACCACTAGAATCTGAACTCTTCAGTACTGGTTCCAGTCTTCCATGGCTAATAAGGGTGCAGAATATTAAGGGTTCAATATTTTTTTACTCCAACTTACTTGATTACTTCTGTTCACTCTTATCCCCAACCCATTTTCAACTTCTACAAGACTGATACCGCCTACTGCTTTTCAACATGAGGCCCTGGATAGACATGGTTTGAAACACTCCAAATGCCTTGGAAATGCTCCAACTATCAATCATACAGATGAAAGAGTGAAACATTGGGGGGGGGGGATGTGAGAAGACTGAATAACACCCCCTTACTGCACCACCTGGCTAGTGAACAATGCTATTGTGTGCAATCACAGAAATTTTGAAGTACTCTGAAAAAAAAAAAGTGTAGGGTAGTGCACATCTATGCACAGCACTAAAGCCTATGAATCTGAAGTGTTCCAAATCTGAACAGAATTTGGAGTGCTTCAAATACACACTTGACCATGCCCTAAAAACAGCCTTTTCCACAACCTCTCCACGATACGTGCCTAAATCCACACAGAGCTTGAAATCATTTTAGCTTGTTAATGTAAAATGTTTAATAATAATAAATGTGACATAATGCACTATGTAAAAAGTGAAAGCAAGTAAAAGCAAAGGACCCCCTTCACCCAGGTCCAATGAAGGACTGGCCAACTCTGCACAGCCCCAACTGTCATCCAAATCCCTGCCTCAGAACCATCCTAACCCAATCCTTAAAACAGTCAGGGTTCTAGTCTGCTCTGCTAATAATTACAATCTAGAAGGCTTTCTCCTGGGCTCTAATGAGAAATAACCAAGTAATTATGTGGTCTTTAGAGATGATTCTGTGTGGGTTTTATAGAGATGCTACATTAAGAAATTGTGTGGTATCAATACAGTTAACAACACTGATTAGCCTGTCACTTAATTCTGCAAATTTCTCACATTCTAGCCATCACAATATTTCTAAGGATACTGCTTCACTGCAGAATTAAATCTAAAAAGGATGGATGATATGTAGTGAAAGGGCAGTTGCACATCCCACCAAAACCTGAATAGGATAACCTGGCTAATACTAGCCACATCTCCGTGTTAATGATGGAAACGCTTTAATATATACTTAATACCCCAGGCAGCAACAGCTTCAAAGGATAACTCCCTCACACAGATCACTTAGTAGCAGGCAACCATCAAGCCTCTAGATCAGCATTTCTGAACCTTTTTCAGTTGACAAACCCCTCGGTCTCAGGGTGAGACTTCACGTACCCCCTTTCAATAGGAAATTAATTTTTCGACCTGTGTTAGACAATGTATGAAATATATCTCATGTATCCCCTGATGAGGCTTCACGTACCCCCTGGGGGTACATGTACCCCCGGTTCAGAACCGCTGCTCTAAATCATGGTGTACATGTAAGAGGTTAAGTCAGGTGCCTGATGAATCCACTTGCATAGAGTCCTGCAACTATTACACCAATACCTCCAACACGTGTGCCTAGGCAAGAGTATAAAGGCTGCCCAAAACCTAGCCCTCCTCCCCCCAACCCATTAGACCTTTGAGACAGAATCCAAAGGCCAGACCGAATCCAGATGTTCAGTGCCTTAAGGGTTGTTCCTTCTTTAATAATAATACAAATAATTGAGGACATGTAGAATTGCAATCTTTGTTAAGTCAAAGAAAAGCATACAAACTGCCTGCCATGTGAACTTTGGGCCAATGAAATGTCCCTATGCAGCTCCTCCTAGCCTTTCCACAAATTTTAAGGAATTCAGACTTGGATGTGGAAAACTCTCCACTACTATCTACAAGCCTGTTGGCATATATCTGTATATACTAGATATTAGCCTCACATATTTAACTCAAGTGAATCTGCAGGCTCCGACTAGCTATAAATTGGTGATAACTTGTGACAGATCACCATAACTATACTTTATAACATGTTTCTAATTTATTTACTCTCTGAAATACAAGTTTAACACAGGATTTTATGCTGTCTACAAACTTAAGAGAAAAGTTTTTACTTGCCATACTGACCCTTGGTGGCCCAATAATCATGCCTGTCCACCTTGTAAGCGTCATATCTTCATCATCCTCAAGTCCCCAGCTTACTGTACCATCGCCTACTCCTTTTTGACCTTCTTCAAGTTCTTCCAACAAGCGAAAATTACGAGGTACTTTAACTATTAAAAGAAAGCAGAGGAATGTAAGTAGCAAAGTTTATAAATGAGAAAAGATAGCTCAGTAATTATTAAATGCAGTCTGCATTACACCTTAAAATCATAATAATCATCCAGAAATACAAATCATATTTTAACAAAGTAATGCTGGCAACCATTTGAAATGAAGTAATTATATTACAGGAAGAACATAGGTGATATCAATATTAAATGGAGGGCAGCCAATTAATTATTACTACACAGTAGCAAGATGTCAAATAATGTAGCCGCTGATGTTAAGCATATTAATCATAATAGTTAAGGAAACAAAGTACTAAGGATTTAAATTTTAGTTTACTTTAAACTTTGTTTCCCACTTACAGAACTATTGCTTTTAGCCGATGATTTTCAAAATGAATTCAAGTTCTACCTATCTGAATTTTTGCATTACATAATTGCAATATTTTGCATTCCTTACTGAAATGAAAATGATTTGAATTGTAAAACATATTTTTCTTTTGTGTTCTAGAATGGCTTAAGGGCTTGTTCTTTCAGCCTCCCCCAAACGATATTACAATTTAATTAGCCAATACATAATCACCATCCACTAGTTTTGGAAAAAAAAAAAAAAATCACAGATCTCAAAGCTCTTTACAAAAGGAAGATAAATATTCCCCTCATTTGGGGGAAAACAATGAGGGACACAGAAAGGCAAAACAATTTTTTTCTAGCACTGCCAGCACGGCATTAGCGGAGCCAACAGAACATAAAGGACTGAGTGTTTTTAGGGATGAAAAACGAGGCTCCCAGTTATTTACATTTTATTCTATTATTACAATGCAAAGAAAGTCTACCTATACGTTAATAATCAACAGAAAATGTAGATTATATGTACTAAAATACAACTTCTGCTTTCAGTGGCTTTGCCATGTCAGATCAAGAAGATTGAGATGACAATATGGCTTTGCATATCACATTAGGAGAATCAACTGCCAGAGCTAAGATAAAAACTAACCAATGTGTAACACGGTCAGTGTCTGTAACCCTGAAAAAAAATGCAGGAGTACTCGGACAATTATAACCTAGTTTTCACCTTTGGTCCTATTTTTGATCGCTTACATCTTTCTGAAGAAGCCATCTCTAGGATAAAATCTCTCTCCAGCTGACAACAAATAAGGTAATACCTTTGTAGGCATCTTGTTTCCTTTTGCCCGTTTTAATTTTCTAAAAGTAATGCTAGCAAGTTTTATACTTTGAAGTTCATTAGACACATGGAGAACTCAAATAGTTGTAAAACTTCAAAATGAAGTTCATTCATAGTACTTAAACACACTCTCTGCTAATTTTGAAAAAAGGGTTGAGAAACAGTAAAAATAATAATTATATTACACCAAATCTTTATCAATTAAGGGCCTACCTCTAACAGTACTTAGTACCCATTGTTCCCAACAATAGTTGAAAATGCTCAGCATTATGCCATAGTTTCATAGTAGGTAGGGTCAGAAGGGACCTCAGCAGATCATCAAGTCCAACCCCCTGCCAAGGGCAGGAAAGAATGCTGGGGTCAAACGACCCGGGCAAGGTGATTATCTAGCCTCCTTTTGAAGACCCCCAGGGAAGAAGCGAGCACCATTTCCCTCGGAAGTTGGTTCCAGATCCTAGCCGCCCTGACTGTGAAGTAGTGCCTCCTGATATCTAGCCTGAATCTACTCTCAGTCAACTCATGGCCGTTATTCCTCATTACTCCCAGTAGTGCTTGGGGGAACAGGGACTCTCCCATTGCCTGCTGGTCCCCCCTGGCCAGTCTGTAGACGGCCACCAGATCCCCTCTCAGCCTTCTCTTGTGGAGGCTGAACAGGTTCAGCTCCCGTAGCCTCCACTCATAGGGCCTGCCCTGCTGCCCCCTGATCATGTGAGTGGCCCTCCTCTGGACCCTCTTGATGCTGTCCACATCCCTCCTGAAGTGCGGTGCCCAGAACTGGATGCAATACTCCAACTGCAGCCTAACCAGTGTCACATAGAGGGGAAGGATCACCTCCTTGGACCTGCTCGTGATGCATCTGTGGATGCATGACAAGGTGTGGTTAGCCTTAGTGACCGCATGCCCACATTGGCGGCCCATGTTCATTTTGGAATTAATAATGACTCCAAGATCCTTTTCTGTCTCTGTGCTGACAAGAAGGGAGTTCCCCAGCCTGTAGGTATGCTGCTGGTTCTTCCTCCCGAGGTGCAGTACCTTGCACTTGTCAGTATTGAATCCCATCCTGTTCCCATCCGCCCACCCCTGTAACCTGTCTAGATCTAGTTGTAGTCTGTCCTTCTCCTCCAGCATGCCCACTTCTCCCCACATTTTAGTGTCATCCGCGAAGTTGAACAAGGTGCTTTCCACCCCCTCATCCAAGTCGCTGATGAAGATGTTGAACAGTGCGGGCCAAGGACCAGGCCCTGGGGGACCCCACTGCCCACATCCCTCCAGGTTGAAAAAGACCCATCCACCACCATGATGCACTAAGAAAAGTTATTCAAGCATAACATTTCAACAAGCATTTCAATGTGTGATTTGGTATGATCATCATTTCAACAAACTCATATTTAAAGTTGCTTTGCATTATTGTGGGGGAGAAAGGGGAAGGGTTAGGAATGGAGCCATTAGCATCAATAGGTAGTAATTTTCCCAAATCCCAAGAATACCAGTTTGGATGAAGTACAACTGCAAGGGAACAAAGCATTACTTGGGACCTTATCTTCACTTCTAAATGTGCTTTGGGTAATTAATGTGTGCAAGCTATCTGCAGGTATAAACACAATGAAGACAAGGCACTGCAGCTAGGTAAACTCATTGAGATCGTCCTATCCATCTGTGAAAAAACATGCCTGTGCACCCCTCACCAGACTGCTGTCCTGAATCCCAACACTGGAGGTTCAATACGGGGTCCACCATCCTTTTGTTTGGATACATCTTTTGAGATATGGCATTCAACTGCTCATCCCCCAGAGTAATCTCGATTCCTCAGACTCCTAGCATGCTTAAACGCAGTATTTTTGGAATTTCACCCAGGTTGACAGCCTTTCAGGAGGTACAAGACAGAAGAGAGCAAACGGGCTGGTACATTGTTTCTAAACAACCACTGCTTTCCTTAGGATACAAAGAATGGGAAACTACAGACCAAGAAGAAAAAAAAACCTTAGTGAGCTTCTCACAGTACAACTGAAGTGCCTATCTAGAAATAAAGTACAACACTTTATCTCTAGATAGCTCGCATACACAGAAATCCTTAGCAATAAAGGTGAGTCCTCAGTGAAGCAAGATTTCAGTGAGGCCACAATGATTATTTGCAGTTTTTAACCCAATTTGTAATCCCTTAAATGTTTTATGTAATCACCCACCATTGCACTAAAATTGGTAGTAGTAGCAGTGCCCATGGGCACTACTCAGGAGACACAGCTCAGCATCTCTAAAGTCAGCCAGCATAGATGTGGAAGTGCCAAACTGTCTACTCTAACATTTCCGCTCTTCTCAGTATGAATAAAACTGCTCTGGTGTTACCAAGATTTACCCAATAATAAACTGCACTGGATTAAACAAAAAGAATGTTTTTGAAGCCATTTAGTTAAATCAGTGCAAATCCTTCTGTGGACACATGTAAATCAATTTATAAATCGATGTACTCAGTTAAGTGTGTCCATACAGCAATCTGCATCAATTGAACCAAGTTGCTTTAAAAAAAAAAAAAAAAAAAAAGACACCTAATTAGAACAATACAATTTAATCTAAGCAAGACTTGACAGCAGTAAATTTTGGTACAGTAAAGGACCTAGTCTATAGTATAGCAAGCATCAATAGGAATTTCTGTATCTAAGAATGAAGTTTCACTATGTAAAAGGCTAAATTTACCAAGAAAAGACTTAGAGTCTCTAGGTCACTTGTTTCTAACCTTTGCTCATTATTATTGTTCATAGGCAAGCAAGTAACTTGCTGCAGGCAACTGTGTAGTTTGCTCCCTCTCTGTCAACCTGAAGAAACATAACTGTGGAAAGTAAAATTTCTTGTGGCCACAGGCAACACTGGACTCTTTCTGGAAGCTGCTTGTCACATCAAAGGATCCCTTATAGCACCCCATTTATGTGCATCAGCAGATAAAGTCACATGTCCATGTCGTTCAGAACCAGGATCCTTTTATCAGAACACTTAATGATTCAAGGCCCTGATGTAATTGATATTCGAGAGGTTAAGAGCAGGGAATACTAAACACTACTAGGAAAATAGGAGTTTCTATCCTGCATCAAACCTTTGGTTCATTTTGTTCAGAATTCTGTGCCAATGGCCAGCACCAGATGTTTCAGAACAAGGAACAAAAAATCCCGTAGTATGCAGATGTCTGAATCTACCTACCAGAGAAGTCTTATCCTAATCCCTACTGTTTAGGGACTGGCTCATAAGAAGCATGACTATTTCCAACACCCATCTCACTCTTTGAATCTTCCTAAATTCTTGACCTATTAAAGGCTATGTCTATGCTAGGAAACTTCTAATGTGGACACAGTCATACCAACAATCCTCATTCCATACTGATATAGTAAAGCCACTAACAGGTGAAACAAGTTATACTGGTAAAAAGCAGTTTTTCAAATTTAACTCCAACTACACCTGATTCTGTCAACATAGCCATGTCATTCATGGATCATGGAACTTCAAAGTCCTGATGAAAAAAAGCTATGTCAGCAAAAAATCTGGGCTGTAGACTATCATACCAATATTGAGCACCTACTGAAATCTGGGTCTAAAGCAGTTAAACTGAACTTTTACTTCAATAGCAAGTAGGAAGGAAAACAGGGGGAAAATAATTGACTTCAGCAAGGGAATCTCACTTAACTAAAACTCCAGGTTACCAAAAAGTTAGGCTATTTCCCTTGCAGTTTCAGGAATAATTTCAGCTGTGGAAAACTAAACTACAGTTCACTTTCTACAAAAAAAAAAATTGCAGAATCCAAGAACATTTAGGAAAGCAAAGCACCAGTCTCTTCATGACACTACTTAAAGTGGAAAAAGTTGTACTTTGAAATAACAGTAAAGAGTCCACACTTCAGAATAAAACATAAGAAATAGGGGAAGGAAAAAAGAGTGTGTTAATGTCCCAGTTATTTCTCTAGGATTTCCTTGTTCCTATAACTTGGCCTGAGAGTTGCTTCAATGTACTTCAGTGAAATGATATTTCATGACTTTATACAATGCCATTGCTTAGTTGACCACCAGACAGACTCCTAAACCTAATCTAACAACTGTAAACCTATTGATTTTTCCCTGAATCTCTTCAGCCAAGCTATCAATTCCTGCTATGAAGTTTTCCATACTGCTAATATGGAAAAATCAGGAGAGTATACATTTATCCTGGACTGGCAAAATGGAGAAGTAAACTTATGATTCTAGCAGCAGTACTGGACTCTCATACAAGGAACAGCACAGAGAATGAGGCGAAACTGATTCCAGCTCCTGATGGACAAGTCATTATGAATGTTTATGTTATACTTGCAATATGGCCCCTAGACCAGCCAGGACAGTGATGGCAGCAGGTGAGGGAGGGGAGGAAATAAGAGGAAATAAGAGGGGAACAGGATGTGCCACAGGGAAATTCTTACTCCCTTTACTGACGGGGGGGGGGGGGGAGAAAAGAGTCTCTATGTGCTTCTCCCACAGCATCAACTGAAAGGGGTGGGGTAGGCCATGCCACTGCCCCCACCTCTGGATCCCCCTGGGAAGGAAGAGAGGAAAGAGGTTTGCAAACATTAAAACTACAGTGAAAAGATTCAACTTAATAGACAGGCTGGAGCCACCTAATTTTTAAAATATTTTAATTAAGTATATTTAACTATTTATTTGCATTAGACTGAGGATTTAAAGTAAGAATAAATTTGTATTGTCCTAGACTTTTATTAAAATCTATAATGAACTAAATATAAAACCATTTTTATATGCCACCACTGCAGAATTGCCAGTCTTTTCTCTCCCCAGTTTTGTTTTGTTTTGGGTTAGGTTTTTTTTGGTTTGGTTTCGTTTTGGTTTGGTGTTTTGTTTTGTTTTTTTGGGGGGGGGGGAAAGAGAGTGGGGCGCAGGGAGAGGGGGTGGTATAAATTAGGACCTGACCTCACAAATATTCAAAACAAATACTAATTGTACTAATCTGACTGACAGCAATAGGACTACTCACTTGGCTAAAATTTTAAGCGTTATATACATTTATAGCATCAGAGGTAAACTTTTATTTTTAATAGGAAGGTGTCTTGCATAACATCTTCCACTTCAAAATATAATTGCTTCAATGCAAATAAATGCAGAGGTTTAGGTTTTATATATACACACACACCACATACATATGCATTGGCTTTTTAAAACATGCACTGGCCAGATTTTCCAATAGTAATATAACATAAAGCTCCCAAACACATATATGGGTACATAAGTGATTTTAAATAATAAGTCTTATTGACATAAACTGCAAAGCTTAGCCGAAGGATTTTAGGTTTCTCCATTCATGGAACGTCAGTAGTGGTGTTGGCTGCAAATAAAATGTGTGCTATTTGCTCATGAAATCTGTTTTTCACTTTGCAATGAGGCTTTGGGCTTTATTTTTCTAGCATAAATCAGCATTTTAAATAAGCGCCTTCTCAGTAGGGAAAAATTCTGTGAAAGCTGAAATTCTACTAACAATAAGGTTTGCTAGAGGAAGCAGTTGCCTCTTATGAAGAACTGGTTAACTGTATTGTTCAGGCACTCAGCCGCAGGTTTTCCCTCTTTCCTTCCTTCTAGAAAACAGCCAAAGCCCCCTCTTACTAACCACTATAGCAAGAGAGAGATGAGACTGAGTCCAAGATCTATTAAAAACAAAAAGTTGTCAGTTTTAAATCTAGAGAAAAGGTTCTGCCTCTAGCACTATAGCAAAGATGTCCCAGGCAGAGACCTGAGCAGGGCTGACCCACCAGGACTCCTGGGCTTAGGGACTTCCCAAAAGGTTATTCCTCCGTCCCCCCATCCTCAATCCTGTACTCACCGATATACATATTCAATTCTCTCCACAGGCTGCTCTCTCCCTTGTACGCCCCACACCTACATGCTCCAGAAGTGGGCCGGAAAGCAAATTTGCTGTGATGCATCTCCTGTGATTCACCAGTAGCTCTGCCCTCTGACCACATCCTGTGATCTGGCGGAGTTCTGTTCAGCTGAATCACAGGAAGGTTAGCAGAGCAGACATCCACTCTGCCCCAATCTCCACTCTAGCAGTCAAACTTCCCTTACTGCTTCCATTCTCCACCCCCTGCAGCCCAACTCCCAGCCATGTCTCGTACTCCCCTAGCGCATCCAATCTGTAAATGCTGATATTCATCAATGACTATACCTATAAATGTTTAGAGGCAAAAGTATGCAGATAAAGGAGTACACTGCTAAACACAGGCGTGGATGCGTGTAAACACATGGGCATTTATACACATACTTTTTGGTCCCGCGATGCAGCAGAGATCCACCACTTGATTAATTGCTGACGTGCACTGCGCTGCATCGCATGCAGTTGTATAAGCAACGATATGCGCGGCAGCATGGAGAAAAAGTTGGTGGTGCACTTTTGAACTAAAGTATCTTCTATGTGTTTTAATTCAAAAGCGCTTTTCTCAGCTCTGACGCACATTTCACCACTTATACAACTGCAAGCATTGCAGCGTTGGGCGCTTTTCAAAACGCGTGGCACACTCATGTGTAAAAATGCCCATGATGAGAAAATGTAGCTCTGCAGGATTCTGCAATAAGGCAGAAGAGTAATAACTACTGACAAGACTACAAAATGGATAGCCATATCCCTGGCCTAAATACACAGCATTTTTTTTCCCCATAAATGCAAACCTCTAGAGTACAGATGTCAAACTCACCCTTACCCACAGGCTGGATCTGGACTATCAACCCCCTTGCTGCTGGCACACATCCCCAACATCGTTCCACAACTGGTAATTCAACAGCAGGACCCACCCCTACCTACACCTTTCCTAAATTCTCAGACCCTCTACGGCTATACAAGTCATTGACCCATGTCCCAGAAGGATACATCCTGGAATTGGAAGAAACAAAGTTTGCATCAGTACAATTTTCTCCTGGTGCAGTACCCTCAACACCATGGGTTTGCAGCACTAGAGGGACTTCAGTTTAGTTACCCAGGACAAGTTTCTCTAGTCAACCGGGGGTGGTCAACACATAACACACATGCCACAAGTAGCAGGGGCAGCTGGTGTGCATGGAATGCGAGCCTCCAGGGACTCAGTAAAGGGGGGGGGGGCAGCTGGAAGAGAGGCAGGGGACTTGAGCCTTCCCCAGTTACCATCTAATTCAAGACTCCTTTGGATTCTTGCACCGTTTCTGGGAGGGAAAAAAGGCTTAACTTTTAGCAAGTCTGCCCAAAAGGTTGGCCATTGCAGCCCTAGCCCATATAAGCTTTTAGTTATTTCCCAGGCCCTGCCCTGCACATCCACATCCCAGAGTTTAGCTTCGTCTAGAAACAATTAAATAAACTTTTACAAAATACAGGTTTTCCTCGCTTTATGTGGGTTCTGTATACGCGAATTCAATCCTATGCAACAACCCTTTTTACACCCCAAATTCGTTATATGTGAGGTAAATTCATTATATGCAAGGTAAGTCTGTAGGGGAAGGGGCAGAGGCGCAGCGCAGCCCAGCAGCTGCAGGCAAGTGCAGTCTGTTCCCGGGGCTGCAGCAGGAAGCAAAGCAGAGGGAACTGTCAGCGAGTGGGGCACAGGTGCACAGCTCTTGCTGCTATGTGTACCCAGGGAGGGCTGTGGGCTGCACCAGGCTCTTCCCAGAAGATGTGGACCCCCGGATCTGCGCTTAGGACGAGAACAGGCTGCCATTGCAGGCTGGCGCCAGCACTGGGCTCTTTCTGGCAGGGGGCTGAGCCACACTGCACTTGGGGTGGGAGTGCTGGGAGGGGGGCTGCAGCCACCGCAAAATTCGCTATAGTGCCACCAACCTCCCCAACCAGCACTGCTGTCGCCTTCCCCAAGTGCAACAGCCCAGCCCCTGCTGGGAAGAGCCCAGTACCACTGTTGGCCCTAGCCCACAGCAACAGCCTGCCCTGCTCCCGCATGCCGATCCAGGGGCACACACCCCCAGGAAGAGCCTGGTGTAGCCCCACAACCCACAGGCCTCCTGGGGTGCACATGCAGCAAGAGCTGCACCCTCCCCTCCCCGTCCCGCACCCTGCGCCCACTGACAGTTCCCTCTGCTTTGCTCCCTGCTACAGCCCCAGAAGCAGCCAATGCCACCTGCCTGCAGCTGCTGGGCTGCGCCGCAAACCTCCCCCCTTCCCTTGCTTAGCCACTGCCCCACTTCCTCCCTCACCACCGTAGGAACATATTGCTATTTGTTACCTTATAAACTGGGTTCCCTTTACGTGAATTTGAGTTATGTGCAGTTTTCCAGGAATACACGCATCACATAAAGCGAGGGAAACCTGTACAGGCCAGGGGTGGCTAACCTTTGTTAACCGAGCCAGACGTGACACACGCTGCCTCTGCACAAGTGACATGCAGCAGATCAGGGAGGGAACAGGCAACACAACAGCAGATAGGGAAGAAAGCAGCAATCAGAGCAGCAAGTTGGAAAGAACTATAAAGCAGAGCAACAGATCAGGATAGAAAAGTGATTGAAGTGGTACTCAGAGAGGATATGGGGCTAATTTGAGGCATACCTGCCAAAAAGTGTGGCCCCCCCACTGATACCGGCACTTAAAACAGGTTAACTCATGCTTAACCCATTGTATATAATGCTTTATACCAGGGGTGGGCAAAGCCCAGCCCACAGGCCAGACTGGGCCCACAACAGCTCCATTTCCCAGCAGCAGCTCCTTCTGGCCGCCACTGCCAGCCCCAGCCCCACTGCCTGGGCATCCCAGCCCATCTGCCCTGCACCCACCACCAGAAGCAGGACCCACATGGGCAGGGCATGTAGCCAGGTGACTGGGATGGAGCAGCCAGGAGTGAGATGGGTGGGCAGGGCCAGGGAGACCCCAAAATCTTGGAGCAGTGACAGCATGGGGCTGGGGCAGAGTCGCAATCCATGGTCCACATGCCCGTGGCAAGCGCAGGCTCAACAGGCATGGGCGCGCAGAGAGCAGATCATGGCTCTGCTGCAGCCCTGTGCTGTCATGGCCCCAAGATCCCAGACCTGAAGCAGCAACCCACCCAGCTCCTGGTCAGTCTCCATGAAGACCCTGGGAGTGAGGGGCTGTAACAGAGCAGAGCTGGGGCAGAGACCCAATTCTGCAGTCCCACAGTGTCACAGCCTCCCTACTCCCAAGGTATCCATGGAGACTGGCTGGGAATCACACAGGTAGGGACTGCTGGGAAATGGAGTCCAGCCACCTGCCAGATCCACCATTTTGCCCACCCCTGCTTTCTATATTAGGGAATTTCAGCAGCATCCCTTAGATAAATTTTCAATTGATAAATGCAGTCAGCGTTTCTAATATAAACTAAACCTCTGGTAACTCAAAAGTTGATACACTGCATGTTACACTAATATAAACTTAGAAAAAACTCTATCCATACAAAAAAGGAGAACATACGTTATTAACTAGCTCATCATTCACCCACCATGCTTGTTCTGGTTGAGGGTGGATGTGTGAAGACCAAGACTGGTGGAAAGGAGATAGCTGAATTTAAGGATAATTTGTTGAATGAGGCACAGACATGACACTGGATGGTTTGAGAGCCTGTTGTTATTAACACTGGTGGGTTATGAACAATGACACATTCTGAAATTTGACAGGATGTTAGTTTTATTAGCAAATTATATTTTGTACAACAAAATTGGGCCATAAAGGAAGCAATAACAAAAGGTCCAGAGTCTGTCTAAATGACTTCAAAAGCACCTGCGAATTAAATTCAAATAAACGCTTTTTTTTTTAATTGAGGTCTTACAAAAAATAAGAGAAATGTTTCCAACATGCCTTTTTTAAAGTTCAACAAAAACAAGTTTTAAAAATATATTTACAGAAACATTACAACTCAGACTGAAACCAACTATATAAAAAATAATTAAGTCAATGTTTCAATGTCCAAGTACAGAAAAATTAAAAACAGTATAGGAAAGACAAAGCATATCTTAAAAATTCATTTGAAAGTCTGAAGTAGCATTAGTAGCATGAAATCACAAGAAAACAGAGCTCCAAAGAACCTCACGAAGTCATCTTGTCCCACCCCCTATACAGGGCAGAACTGTCCTCAACTAAATAATCTTAGCCAAGTGTCTGTCCAACCTCCTCATGAACATTTCCAAGGATGGAGATTCCACAACTCCTCCAGGTAGCCTGTTCCAAGGCTTGACCACCCTCATAGTCAGAAGTTACTCCTAATCTCCAATCCTAGTTCTTTTAGCCGTTCCTCATAAATCTTGCTTGATGTCTAATAATTTCTATTGCTCTGCACTGAACTCCTTCCAATCTGTCTGCATCTTTCTTGAAGCACGGGGTGCAAAACTGGACACAGTAATCCAAGTGAGGCCTCACCCATGCTAGAGAGAAGAAGAAACACTTTCCTTGATTTGCAAGCGATGCTCCTGTTGATACAGCCCAATATACTGCTGGGCTTTCTTCCAAGAGCATGCTGTTGACTCATATTCAGCTTATGGTCCACTGTATACCTCAGGTCCTTCTCTTCAGTACTGCAGTCTAGCCAGTCATTCCCCAGTCTGTATTTATGAATGCACGTATTCTGACCTAAGTGCAGGACCTTGCCCATGTCCTCGCTGAATCTCATATGACTGATTTCGGATCCTCTCTCCAGTCCATCCACATCATTCTAGATCCTAGCCCTGCCCTCCAGAGCATTTGCTATTCCACCCAACTTGGTGTCATCCTCAAATCTGCTAAGCATGCATGTAATACATCTAGATCATGCGTGAAGATGCTGAACAATACCAAACCCAGAACCCACTAAATAGCCCCCTCCCCTGTCAACTAGACTCTGGGTGCATCTACACATTCATTAATGCGCTTTAGGTAATGAATATTAAGTCTAGTACCTCCAGCCACTTTCACACATGCTCCAGGGGTAGGAGGAGGAGACAGAACTTAAATAATTAGAGTGGCTCCAACAGCCACTCTAATTAAAGCACCATAGTCTCATGTATCAGCATCCTTGTGCTTCAAAATGGCAGCAGGGGTGCTTGTGCTAAAGCTCATTCGACAAGCTTTAGTTCAAGTGCTTCCTGCTGCCATTTTGAAGTGCAGGGACAGCGATATACGAGACGTGGGAGGCTGTTGGAACACAATAATTACCATGCTGGAATAGACTTGATTAATCAAAACTGCTCCAACACCTGTAATTACAATGCATTGGAGCACCCTCCATTGTGAGGTACTAGAAAAAGGTGCATTAACCTATTTTAATGTGCATTAGCTGAAGAGCATTTTTTTTTGTGATGCTTTAATAAGCATTACAATAAGCTAACACACATTAAGGCACACGTGTATATGCACTCACTGAGCTATTGATGACTGCTCACTGATCCAAAATTAGGTATTCGCCTTACAGTACTTTCATCTATAATGTATTTCCTTAGCTTGTTAATGAGAAAGTTGTGGGAGACAGTATTAAGTACCTTTCTTGACTTTAGCAAGGCTTATCACATGCACTGCTCTCCTCCATCCACAGAGCCAGTTGCCTTATCTTAGAAGGAAATCAATCTGGTCAAGCTTAACTTGGTTTTAATGAATCCATGCTAGCTCTTCCTGATCACCTTGTTCTCCTCTAGGTCCTTCATAGCAGACCTGCTCCATGATCCTTCCAGATATTGAGATCAGGTTGACTGGTCTATAGTTATGTGGATCTTCCTCCTTCCATTTCTTGAGGATGAGAACTATATTTGCTCTTCTCAAATCATCCAGCACCTCACTCAACCTCCGCACAAGTTCTCAAAGAGGATAGCCAATGGTTCTGAAATTACCTCAGCTAATTCCTTCAGTCCATAGTGTGCATGCCACTTGATGCCGCTGACCTGAAAGCAGCTAGCTTCTCTAAGTAATCCCTAATCTGTTCTGCCATTACTCTTGATCGTTTGTCTTCTTCCCTATTTTTGCTGCCAACTGAGCACATCATCTTGTAGCTGACCCTATTTATGAAGACTGAAATAAAAAACAAAGATTAAATACTTCAGTCTTCTCTGCCTCATCCATACCTAGATTGCCTTCTGCATTCCTTAAGGGAAGGAATGCAGAAGGCAATTCCTATGGTTCCATTCCTATGGTTTCTCTAGTCTTCCTCTTACTTTTGATAGTTTCAGAATCCTGTTTTATTGCCTTTTATGTCCCTGAATAGCTGCATCTTAAGTTGTGCCTTGGCCCTACTAATTTTCTCCTTGCAAACTTTTTGATACTTTTACTCTTCCCTGCTACTATAACCAAGTTTCCACTTTTTGTAGGGTTTTTTTTTTTGTTTTGTTTTGTTTTGTTTTTTTAAGTTTCAACTCATTGAAAAAGATTGCTCTCTCACCAGGCTGGCCTCCTGTTGCACTTGCCATTCATCTGCCACATTGGGAAAGCTTGCTCCCATACCTTTAATATGGCCTCTTAAAAAAAATACAGCCAGCTCTCCTGGACTCCTTCTCCCCTCAGACTTGCCTCCCAGGGGATCCTGCCTCCTAGTTCCCCAAGTTAGTTGAAATTTGCTTTTCTTAAGTACAGCCTCTGGTGCTCTCCTTCAGACCTTGAACTATCATTTTGTAGTCACCGATACCCAATTTGCCTTCCAACTCCACATTCTCAACCAATTCCTCCCTGTTTATGAGCAACAAATCAAGAAGAGCTTCTTCCTACTTGGCTTCTCTACTATCTGTATGAAAAAGTTATTCCAATACACTGCTGTACCTCCCTCCCAGCAGATGTCCCGATAATTGAAGTCACCCCTGAGAACTCAGGCCTGAAATTCAGAAACTTCTGTTAATTGTTTAAAGAAGACCTCCTCCTGGTTTGGTGGCCTGTAACAGACACTCACTACGACACCCCTCCTGTTGCTCCCCGCTCTGACCTTTACCCATAAGGCTTTCAACAGACCTACCTGCCACTTAATACTGTGTTCTGTCAAAACAGCATAGCAGGCAGCATAAACCACCCTCTTATTTTCACAGGCTTATCTTTCTGGAAATAGTCACATTTCAGCCCCAAATTTCCCTGAGTACTGTGGTCTCTCCAAAGTGTTCTGCTTACACAATGCTTCAGCCATTTGAGTTCACCGAAGGATACAAGTATATGCTTTTTATTGTTTATTTTTCAACTAAAACTTTCTAACACCTAAAATCCTTCAAATATTACTGATTTTGCTTGGCCTGGAATATTATATAAAATTACTTTGGCAACTGTCTTCTTAGCTACAGTTTTAAGTATTTCTAATGCAACTCACTGTGCTGAAATGGGATATCATACTTTCTCGCATACAAGCTCACTACCCCCAAAAGAAAACAGCTGCTGGAAACTGGGGCGCACAATATAAGCATGAAATATGGTAATGGAAGTTTCTTAACTGCAAGCTGTGCTCCACAGAGAATAGTAGAATAGTAAGCAAGCTGTAAGCAATAAGCTAGGGCTCCATAGCTGCTACTACTAAGCTACTTACTACAAGGAAAGACCTTTTCTTCATCAGCCTTTTAAAAACAAGGAGCATACCTTAATTCCAGGGCATGCTGTACGTCAGAAAATATGGTATAGGGTTTAGCATATATGAGATCATGCAGCATTGTACTGGTATATTTCATTCCTAAATTTTTTGAGCATTTTTTTTAAAGGTCTAATTCAATGAAGCTACTGATAACTCATCCAAGTTACTGGCAGTATTAACTGTGCGTTAAATTGAGCTCTGTGATTACAAGTCAGCATTGAGGGTTCTACTTAGGGGTGCACCGAAAGACATTTTTGGGACCAGTATCAATAGCCGATTTTTAAGGAGGTATATTGGCCGATACCAATCCAATTTCTGATATGCAGCCTGGCAGCGTGAAGAGCAGTGTCCACCTGGTAAGTCTGTTGTGGTAGAAGGGGTGGGGGAAGGGGTGTTGAGGGGCAGACCAAGGCCCCTGCAGTGAGGGAGAGAGTGGGGCTGGGGGTGCAGGATGCAGCTGCC